TATATATATATAAATCATGTGCCTCTATTTTACATTCGACTGTGTGTCATATTTTTATTCATGATTGCATTCCTGATGAGAGGATCCCGCATACAGTATCATCATTTCTCATGCATGTTGTGACTAATTATGCGATCAATGAATTACTTCTCACGGCTGTAAGGCCGAATTTATTGTTGTAAACAAAATGTATAAATACCATGTGTTGTTTTCCTAATAATGATTACAATATACAGACAGTCACAGGCTACCCTTTGTCGTTTCGATATTTGCGTGGCTCAGTGAATCGGATGGCACATCGGGCAAATAGGTATATGAAGCAGGCGCAAACAGAACAAAGTGACTACGTCTTGCATTCAGTTCAGTGCAGTTATAAGAGATGTCAACGCTTTTTGACGTCAACCAATACATGCAGTGATATAAGATGGTGTACTTGAACAGTACAGTAATTTACACCAGTCCGCCGCTTATTTATCACTCAAGTCTCTTTATTTTTGTCTTCAACTATTTGTATGTACCAAATTCTAATGTAATGTCTCCCAATGAAATGACATGCCCATTTTTCTTATATCACTAATTGATACTTCCTACTATAACACCTCTAGTCGTCGTCTTTCACATTACACAAACCAATGTTACTTTCCTCTTGTCCCCTTTTCGCAACTCATACCTAGACTGCATTTGTTTACTCTCCAGCTTGCCTTAAATGCATATATGATTTGCATATATCTCTATAAAAATGAATACATACTAATAATCCTTCATATCTTCGTGTTTCAGAATATGCATCACTGGCCTCGCTTTTGTTTTTAAGCCTGGAATACTCTCAATCTCCTGTCAAACATTTTGATATTCTTGCTTAACTACAGTCCTACACGAGGTCAATCACGAGTCCGAATAGCTCAGTGGTAACGTCTCTGACTGCAAGCAGCACTGGGTGACGCGGTTCTGAGTCTCAGAAGGGACATGAGTTCCTTCAACATTGCAGATACACCTTGCCGACTGAGTGGTGAGTTTCGACAACACAATAAGAAGACATCGTTTATCCAATCACCTCCCAAAAAGGAAGTTTACAAATCCTTGCCGTTCAGAATCGGTCAACAAAGTCTGGTCACTAGACAAAGACTCAAGGCCGCAATTAATAGAACTTATTATGCAGCTAAACTCATCTTCATAAAGAAAATGAGAACTATACTGTCCTGTAAACCCTCACATTATCCAAACGATAGTGTCACATCCCAATGTGTTTATCAATTTCCATGTATGTGTGAAGACACGCATATAGGGAGGACCCATCGGTCTCTGCAGGTTAGGGCTACAGAACACATTCCAAAGTGGCTGACACAACAAATGAAATCGCCAGATACAATTGACCCCGGAAATAGATGTCCAACATCATCTATAGCGAAGCATATTATAGAGACGGGTCATAAGGTTGATTTCAACAATGCCTTTAGGCCGATATATAAAACATGGTTGGGCCACATTCTTAAATTCATTGAAGCCGTAGGCATAATAAGGCTTAAACCTGTCTTATGTGTCCAAAAGTTATTTGTTATCACCTTAAACCTGCCTTGGTAATTCAAGTTAGAACCAAGGATGTATTTACTTCATAATATTTCCAACCCCTTCCTTTTTTCTCTTCTTATCTTTCTTAGCCACACCTTTCGCGTTTCCCTACCCATTATTTGTGACCTTGACCTGTACATAAACTGATCTGTATTGTAATTATTCATGCCTTTTTGCCTTCTACAAAAACTGTGTATGACAAGTAGGCGTGTATGTGATCAGAATGTCCGAAATGTGTTGCCCCAATACATTACACGTTTCAGATAAACTACGTCTTCTTATTGTGTTGTCGGAATTCATAAAGGGAACTAACTGCTTCAAATTTTTAAAGAGATGACTAGTGAGTGTCATCTAGCACGAAATCTAGATCAAGCAAGGCTTCCTGCCGATTGCCTCCATCCATCTAAAAAAATATCCGTGGAACTTGTCAACCGAAGAATTCCCGTCTTGTTGATAATTATGTTATCCTAATTACTGAAAAACTATGCGACACTTTTGTAACGTTACTACTCTAGGCCACATAAAGTGCAGTTTATTTTCTATACTCAAAAAATTCATCTTTAAAACACTTATAATGAACAGTTGGACAACGTAACATTTCTTCTAATTTTCTGTGGTCTCTACTTAAACATTACGCCTATATCCACTAATTACCTAAGCAATATTTAATCTATTTAAAATTATTTTTTACTGAATGAAATTTAAGCGTGTGTGGGGGGTGGGTGGGGTGAGGTTCACCCGCCTGAGAATTTAACTTCTAGTCACTGAGACTGAAGTCCAAATCTCACAGCGTCTACCTTGCTCTAAGTTGATAATTCACACATCCAGGGTAAACAAGGACAATCCCCTACTGTCTAATTAGGTTGCACTAATTAAAAAAACAACAGTATTTTGACAAAATCAAAACTGAAAGTATAGAGAAGAGTAAATCCCCTTGGTTAGTAGAAGAATAACCTTAGTGATACAAACAACACTGGCAATTTTACCGACTGTCAAACTCACTGAATTAGGAAAACCTGTTGGAGAACTCTATCAGTTGTTTTTTTCTTTTCAGAATACTTGAGTGACTTTTAAAAATTTTCTGTTGACTGTTCTTCCTTCACCTACCTGCGCCTAAATGGTCACATGTCAATCTTTCTACAAGTAAACTCGTACTTCTGTGCTAATGTCTATGGATCCGCGATAGTATGAATCAACACAAGACGACAAAAGTCTTAGTATATCAGATGTACCTTCTTCGGCCTGTGAGCTGTCAAGGCGGGGCGTTTTTATGCCATTTTTGAATACCCTAACTTTTCGCATTCTAAGATCATGTTCATCAGTCTAGTGAACAATGAGGAATAATCAAAACCCTTTCACTATATGAATAACTATTATTATTTCCTTTAATTCCTAGAGGAACATAGGGCTTCAGACACCCAAGTCTCCATTGCATCCGGTTCTCTGCTAGAGTTATCACCTGGATCGAAGTCTGCCCACATGCTTTCATCTCCCCTTCACATGACCTCCTCCAAGTCACCCTTGCATTGACGATCAACTCGCCGCCTCCCTTTCAGGTTCCACTCGAGCCATGGCTTGTCTAGTGATTTCACTTGATGGTTTTCTTATAGTATGGCCAATCCATCTCCATTTCTTCCTACTTATTTGTTGCACAATCGGTTCCTGGTTGGTTCGCGCATTACCATAGATCCCTGTTGCTGATCTTTTCTGACCGGCCATCTGATCTTGAGTAATGAGCGAAGACAACTGTTCAAGGTGCTCTTTATGACGCGCCAAGTCTCCGATCCGTATAGTGAGTAGCACTGACTTCACATTGGAGTTGAAAATCCGGATCTTATTTTTGATTCTGAGTGCTGTTGACCTCCACACAGACTTAAGAGTAATGAAAGTTTGACTTGCTTTTCCGATCATTACTTTGATATCCTCGTCAGTTCCGTAGGCCTGTAGTTGAAACGATGCTTCCCAGGTTGGTGGGTAAAGGAGGTTGTTTGTTTCAGGTTCCTCCCATTTATGCTGGCTGATTGTTGTCTGTTGTTGTTGTGGCTGTTGGTGTTGGCCAGGAATCTTCATCATCTCTCTTTTCTCTATGTTCGCCTGAAGTCCCATCGTTGATGCTTCTTCTACCAACTTGATGCTTTTCACTTGCATATCTTCCAGTGTTTGTGGGAATATATCGTCATATATCCTCGGCGAATCAAATATATATATAGTTACTGATTAACCATAACTTCCAAATCCTTTATTGTAACTTTTCCTCATGAGTATGATTAAATGTATCGAAAGGCTAACTCAACTAGGTTAATCATTCGTACTGCTTTTATTACTGCCACAGAAAAACCAAGAGATACCACAACTGACTTGAGATTTTACCTGTTGACATTAGTATCTATGAGTCTTAAACCGATGAGAATGTGAGTTGGTGATTCACTTTTGCATAAAGCGGTAGAGATAACGGTCAAATGCACAAGAGCTTACGTCACGTCTACTTAACCGACCAAGTCTCAGAGGAGAATTTAGCACAAAAGTGCAGCAGTCCCATACTCCATGTAGCTCACAAGAGGGAAAATAAACAGAATTGCCGTGGGGGGGGGGAAGAATAGTTATATGGAAGAATAAGAGTTTAACTGGATACTATAAATTACAAATCTGCACCTGTCATTGAGAACGATTTTGAGCCAAATTACCAATTGCCTTCAGTCATTGGTTCTTACCGTCGTGTGGATCCCAACCAGGAAGTCTACGCCTCCCTACGTGGCTCAAACTACCTGTTATGGATTTCACTGAATGACGCCATGCTTTTGTTTGATCACCACTAGTTGTTTTCCAACCTGGTCTTACATCAGCTAACGTTGTCCGTCGAGGAGAGGGCGATGGCTTGGAACGCGCAACGTGTCCCGGACATTTCAAGCGAGGCAGCCTCACAAACTTCGTTGAATGACTTGCCCTCTGTATCTAACACTCTGCGCTTAACGTCAGTATACCTATATTCATCATATTATATCACGACACGGGAGATAGTAGACGAACGCCAAACGTCAATGAAGGTTAACATTTTCACGTCTCCAACTTTTAATGGCCACATTCCACAACTATAACAGAGGCCAGAGCGAACTGCTGAGTAGTACACACGTCCCTTGATCGATCTTCGAATATCACGTCTAAATAAGTGGTCAACACGCCCTACCACTACACCCCTTATCTTTACTCATGCCATGTCACATACACGAATGAGATAAGCGCAAATATCTGAGACCGCACCATTCGCATGCATTACACTCAATTTCAATAAGACAACAGTAAAGAGAATCATGCAGCGTGACACATAGAGCTTAGTGAGATAACTGAGTCGACATACCCCAGACGAGCAGGTTCGATTCACGCCATGACAAAACAACTATTTAATAGGTTTTAGGATTTTATTAAAAAAAACTTCATGCTTTCACTGCAAAATCAGTTAGGTCTGGTAGCTCCTCAATACCATCTTTTGTTACGATGCGAACCATGTAACGATCAAGGTTGATAACTAGACGTTTTTGTACTTCCTGAATACACGAACGCAGCAACTCTACAGCCTCAGTTACTGTCATATCTGGACGGTGCATTCGATCCAAGATACTCAGAGCAACCATCGAACCATATCCATGAACAGCGAAGGGGACCTGTCGAACACAATAAATAACTGTGTCAATATCAATAAATATTTAAAAAATGGTTACGAATGATGAGATTTGTAGTCACTCAAGTGTAGATGCCAAGGATTATATGTGATACTCATAAAAGTTCGCCTGATAGTTAACTATATACCCTTAATAAGGATTTTTGAGCTATTGCTCATCTGTTTTTTGGTATGAATTTTGAGCATCACCGCTACTTTAATTAGGTATAGTAATGATATTTTTAAAGTCATATATTAAGAAGTGTAACTCAAAACACACTTATATAATGCTTAATTTTCCTTTCCGCATCAGGAACTTTGGCGAATACAGGCATCCTGGTGTCTTTATTCGTTCTGACCACTAGCATACTACAGTAAAAGTACCACAATTAGGGTTACAGCACAGAAAAGTGAAGCAATATATTGCTCGCATACCTAAGTTTCATTTGCAGGGCAGACTTCCTAAATTGGGATAGAATTTGCTCCAGTTAACGCACTTTCTCACGGAATTAAAGGCTCAGCTTGGAAAAGGAGAGTGGTATTTTTACGTTGCGAAGTAACTTCTACTTTTGTTGTGTGAATCATATCAGAAGCTTTTTGGTTTACTTTATGTAGTTTAATTAGTTAAAGTATTGTTTTCTTTTGTGCACTTTTGTGTGGTTTTTATATCTCTGTATTTAGGTATATATATATTGCATGGAGGATTTCATCATGAGCTGACATCAGTTAGAGAACCACTAGAAAACCTGGGAGTACTGGACAGCTGTTTCGTCCTAGTTTGGGACTCTTCATCAGTACGCACTCACAAGGGGTTCGAACCCAGGACCTTCTGGTTACAAGGCGAGCTCATAGACCATTGAGCCACTGGGACCCGATCTAATGGTCCTTGAATTCTAACTTCTGCCAATTCACGATATAGCGCGACCACTTCGCAATGTCTTCTTCGATGAGTTACTGCCTCATCTTCAACCTGCTGTACCCTACTGGTCACGGCTTCCCACTATATATATATATATATACATATATATTTGTCTGTGTCATTTAAACAACTTATACTGACATGAGTCTCTCTAATAGCTGTGGACGACCGGACTGCCACTTTCCGGTGGACGATGAGATGCAGTGCGATAACTGCAACCTGTGTTTTCATAAAGTTTGCACTGGCTTACCACCATCAGCAGCAGGCCATCATCTCTGTGGGTGTGCAAACTTTGTAGTAGTCTGTTGGACGTTCTTAGCCAAGAGGCCGTAGGACTTCTTATGTCAATGAAATTGACAAAAACCTCAGATGAGGGGAAAAAGCCAGCATTTGATACCAATGCCATGAATGAGAATTCTGGACTGAGTCATAAGACTGGGATAGAACCACATTCTCAAGCTCCAAAAGACACAACAGAGGTACAGTATGCCCAAAAGTCTGCAACAGCACGCGAAACGCCCCGAAAACCCAAGAGGTCAGGCAGTGCCAACATTGTAAGACTGATGGGTGATACTACGACGACCAAGCGTTGCGTGTCTGGTGAACGCACGGCTTCCAACTGCGGCGAGAGCAAAGTGGAATTAACTGATTCCATTTGGTTATTGCCAAAAAATAGGAAGCTGAAGAATTATGGGAAAGAGAGAAGCAATGGGCTTAGTCATAATGTCTCGATGGTAGTAAACACTAATAGGATTGTGAAACCTTCGGACTCAAATTGCAGTATCGTAATTTGGAAGTTGGAGGAATCAAAGAAAGCAGACCCAACTGCCCGACATGCTGAGGATTTCGGGGTAGTTAGCTTCATCATCCGCCAAATACTTCCTGAAAAAAACAAATGAAGTTCACATAAAAAATCATCAGAATCCGTAAACGAAACGCCGATGCAACGGAAAGTTCCCTACGACTGCTGAAGATAGTACCGGGAAAGAGATGGAGAAAAGTATTAATCCCAACAACTCATTCAAGATCAAGGACAAAATGATGAGAATCAGGCCCGACTGGCCTCTAGAAGATAGAATTAAGAGGAGAAAAGAGAAGCCATGACTGAATTAAGGGCTCCACTACAAAAAGGTGAAAAATACCTCACACTCTTGGGTTTTCAGGTAGTGAGCTCTCGGAAACCTTTGTCGCCGAGACATCTATTCATAAGTCCAGTGAACACGTAGGTCTCTCAGTAAGATAAACAAACGTTTGTAGTCTTAGGAATAAGCTTCCTGAACTAGGAGTGTTGTCTGAAGACCTACAACCTGATGTGATTGCTATCACTGAAACATGGTTGTTAGTGGGTGCAAACTTAACTCCATTCATACCTGGGTACATCTGCACTAGAGCAGACACAGTAAGTAAGTAGAAATATGGGGAGGCTTGCTTTATACATCTGGGATGATCAACGTTTTCGGAAGCTCATGACAGCTGCACCAGTGACGCCTCAAGTTGCGTCATTAACTTGAACAAGGGCACTGTGACACCGCTGAAGAATCATGCTTGGAAGACCACTGGAATTCTCTGAAGGTGATTTTCAACGAAATGTGTCCAACGGTTTTAGGAAGAAAGAAGAGACAAGACAAGGAATGGCTCTCAATGGACACTTGGAAGCTAATAGAAGAGAGGAGAATGGTGAAAGAGAAAATGACTCAATGTTAGGACGGACAGGAGAAAGAGACGATGAGCTCAACGTACACAGCACTGGACAAAGAAGTGAAGAGTGCTAGGAAGGACAAAAGACGATTCTACGACAACCTCGCTACTGAAGCTGAGAAGGCAGCAGGCAAAAGGGACCTGAAGACATTATATCAGATAACCAAGTCTCTATCCGGGAAGAGATCAACACAAGTGAAACCTATAAAAGACAGCCAAGGGAACCCAATTACCAAGGGAGAAAGACAGATTAAACAGTTGGCGGATCACTTCAAAGGACTCTTGAACCGACCATTGCCTGCAACCCGTCCAGAATTACCAACAATAGCATGTACACAACTGCAAGTCGACACCAATCCTCCAACGGAAGCTGAAGTCTTGAACGCAATCAAGCTTCTGGAAGCTGGAAAAGCAGCTGGACCAGATGGAATACCCCTGAAGCACTAAAAGCGGACCCAGAGACCACAACAGACATGCTGACTCCATTATTTCAAAAGGTCTGGAAGGAGGGAACGGCGCCTACTGACTGGAGGAAAGGTTACCTCGTGAAACTACCAAAGAAGGGAGACTTAGGACTCTGCAAGAACTGGCGAGGAACCATGCTCCTGTCGACGCCAAGTAAAATCCTGAGCCGCATCATCCTGGAGAGATTAAAGGACGCACTGGAGACAGAACTCCGACCAGAACAAGCTGGATTCAGGAAGGGCAAATCATGTTCTGACCAAATTGCAACTCTACGCACCATTATCACAGAAAAAAGCATGGAATGGCAATCAAACCTATACCTCAACTTTATAGACTTCGAGAAGGCCTTTAACAGAGTTGACCGTGAAGTAATTTGGAAACTACTCGAGTACTACGGCGTACCCCAAATATTTATCAACCTTATTTAACAGCTGTACGACAACGGCACATGTCAAGTGATCCACAACGGAAAACTCAGCGAGGCGTTTAGAGTAAACACAGGAGTCAGACAAGGGTGCTTATTATCACCAATGATATTCCTAATTGTGGTGGACTGGATTATGCGTCAGACAGTGGAAAACGAGAAGACAGGGATATCCTGGACCGACCGACATAAAGAACCTAGAAGACCTAGATTTCGCGGGTGGATGATTTATGTTTGATGTCACACAAAATCGAAGGCTTACAAGCGAAAACCGACCGACAAACTGGCCGAAGAATCAACCGGCGAAGACAGGACTCCAAGTGAACATAGACAAGACAGAGGTTATGAAAATAACCAACCAACCAACCAACAACAACAGCTACATCCAGCGCCAATCACCATCAACGGGAGGGATTTGAAAGACGTTATTTCATTCACCTATCTAGGGAGCATTGTCTCAACTACACGCAGTCGGAACGGACGAGGACGTCAAATCGAGCGAGAATGGGGAAGGCGAAAACCACATTCATCAACCTGAAACCAATCTGGAAATCTTCGTCACTCAGCATCAACAACAAAATTCGGTAGGATTTTCAATACAAACTACGTCAAGTCAGTCAGTTCTTCTATACGTATCAGAAACTTGGCGGGCGGGTCACAAAGAATATTTCCAACAGCCTGTTGCAGACCTTTATCAACAACTGTCTTCGCTCTATACTGAAGATCAATCAGATGGCCGGGTCGGAAGGAATCACCAACAAGAAATTATGGAAACAAACAAAACGAGAACCAATCGCCAACCAACAAAAATGAAAGTGGAGATGGATTGGGCACTCTCTGAGGAGGCCGCTGGGTGACATCTCGCGAGCGTCAGGCCAGTTGTCAAGTGGAACCAGACCGAAAGGGAAGCGGCGAGTGGGTCGTCGGTGCAAGGGTGACATGGAGGAGATCGCGTGAAGAGGAGTTGAAACAGTATGGACTGACATGGATGCACGTGAAAAGTGCATTAGAAGACAAAAGCAAGTGGAGACGTGCAGTTGAAGCCCTATGTTCCACTAGGAGCCCAAGGGAATGATAATAATAATAGAAGTCCTGCCAGCCAAGCTGACGATTTTGTACTAAATCATCTCAGGACGTGGAGTAGTAGAGATAGGTATCTAATAGTAGGTGACTTTAACGACCCACATATTAATTGGGAGTAATTAACATCAACTACTTCGTACAGTTGTTTTAACAGGGAACTCATACTGACAGTGCTTGAATGCGCACTTGTGCAGCATAGAGATGCACCAACACGATACCACTCTGGACGTGATCCGTCCACTCTAGACTTGGCACTAACATACAAGAAGGAGGATGTCGGTGACATTAGGTGCCTGGCGCCGCTCGGCAGTAGTGACCACATAGTTATCACTTTTATGTTTAGGATTCACGCTGTCATACATAGGTCAACAGCTGCTCGTCCACACGTTTGGAAAGCGAATACACCTGCAATCGGAAATGCACCAACCCTAGCTGACTGGTCTGTTGATACACATCAGACTGTCGAGGAGGCTTGGATGGGATTTAGGAATACACTAGATTGCGTCACTGTACCCTTTGTACCTCGGTCTACGCCTCGAAAACTAATGCGTGAACTACCTGGGATTAGTAATGAATTAAGGTTATTAAAACAACGAAGAACTTATTGGACCGGTTTACTGTGACTGAAAGGGAGGAGTTTCGGATGGAATACCGCAAAATTCGAAACTTTTGTAAGTATAAGATTGACAAAAGTCGTATAGAGTATAAGACAGTACTGGATTGTGTACATTATCCAACAAGACTATTCGTATATCAAACGCAGGACTATAACTAGCAGTGGTATACTGTCTCTCATAAGCAATACTGGAGAGACGGCTGAGTCAGACGAAACAAAAGCTGAAAAGATCTCCGAATACTTTTGCGATGTTTTTTGCTTAATCGTACCACTCAGGGGGTAGCGAGGTCACTGATGCAGCCACTAAAATACCCGCAATTGTGGTAAAGGATGCAGTGGTTCTCAAACTACTGTCTAGGCCGAAGCTAGGTAAATCGCCTGGACCTGACGAACTTCACCCTAGACTGCTAATCTCCTTGGCGGATATAATATACATTCCACTTACGGAAATTTTTCAAATGTCTCTGACCCAGGCTAGGCTAACCAGGGACTGGAAAGATGCTTTTATAAGCCCCATCTTCAAAGAGAGGAACAGGCAGTTAGTATCTAACTACTGGCCAGTAAGTCTAACCTGCATTATAGCAAAGGTATTAGAAAAACTCATAAGGGATCAGCTCTTAGCTCAAATGGAAAAACATGGCCTACTGGCAGTGGAACAGCATGGATTCCGACCAGGACGATCCTGCTTGACAAACTTACTGTTAGCTAGGGAAGACTGGGTCGAGGCCAGGGACAAAAACCATCTACTGGACGTTGTCCTTATCGACCTCAGCAAAGCGTTCGATAAGGTGTCCCATTTAGGTCTTCTTAGTAAACTTAAACGCTTGGGATTAGACCGACGCTTATGTGAGTGGTTTAGTGAGTACCTGATGGATAGGAGGCAGAAGGTAAGGATTAATGGTGTACCGTCAGGGTGGAAAGCAGTATTAAGTGGAGTACCTCAGGGAACTGTACTTGGCTCCCTGCTATTCCTATTACACGTAAATGGAGTGTCGAAAATTCTTACCTCATCTTCGTTACTATTTGAGGACGATATTAAGATATGGAAAATCCTAAATAGTAATGATGATAGGTTGGTACCACAAAACAATCTAAATAAGTTAAGCGAATGAGTTAACCTTAGGAAATTAGTTCCAAGAAAAGCTCGGTATTGCACCTAGATCAGAAGTCTTACACGTTTTACTCCCTGAGGGACACAGAACTGTCAGATGTCAGGGGACAAAAGGACTTAGGAAATATTGTAAGCCATGACTTAAAAACAATGACAAATTGTAATCGAGCCGCAGCTAAGACTTTTCGAATGCTATGGGCACTTCAAAGGGCTTTCAAATGTCTAGACGAGGGTATGTTCCGAGTACTCTATGCAACATATGCCAGACCTCATCTAGAGTACTGCATACAAGCGGCGAGTCCATGCTTCAAAAAAAGGCACATACCCTGGAAACAGTACAGAGAGCAGGAACCAAATTAGTTAGTGGTATCTCACACCTTCCTTATGATAGGAGGGTGGAGCATTTAAATCTCTTCCCATTGTCATACCGAAAGAGGAGAGGCGATTTAATTTTGGCTCACCGTATATTCAAGGGCGACTTAGGGATTGACCACCCGAACCTTTTCTCTCCCTTTAGAATACATTTATGAAGGTGCTCAAACCGAGGTCGAATAAAATACGTGTAGAATTTAGATTCTCTCACAGAGTGGTCAACGACAGGAACTCCTTACCTGATACAGTAGTAATCGCTCCATCGGTGAACGCTTTCAAAAAGAAACTGCATCTTTGCAGAGATATATCGCAAGGATTAACATAGGCAACAAGAGCCTTCTATCCTTATAATCCGAATCTTTGGAATACAAAATCCAGTTATAATGGCTGGGTTCGAAAATTCTTGAGTGAAATCGTACAAGTAAATAAGTTACATTAGAAAAACACCTGAGACCAAACTTAAGCAGTGCAGCTGAGATCGAAGCACCCTTGTCTGTTACAATCAACATTCAGAAATACTGAGTTGGTTAAAAGCTAACTGTCATAGGGATGGTTTACTAGTCTCATTTACAAGCACTTAACTACTGTCATTACTTTACAGTTACAGTGAGTCAGAGTTTATCTACAGAAATTCCTACCTGTTGAGGCTACCATGAATTTAACACATACACATATACATGCAGAAAGGTAATACGCGTATGCCACGGGTTCTTCTGAGCAATTGAACAGGTTCAGAATTCTATATTTAAATACAGGTAACTCACCTTTATCAGGGAAGCCAAATAGTCTAAGAAGTATAATTCTGGTCCAGTCTGGTCGTCATAACCGCCAATCAGCAAATTTACAAAGTACGGAGACTATGGTAATAAAAGTAATTTCCAATTGTGCATCTTACTCGACTACGAAGTGACTCAGCCATATTATTTCTTGTGAAGTTCGCAGCTGCGCTTGGAGTAAGCTCATATCCTTTGTAAAGTATTAGACTTAAGAACTAGTATCTACCATTTCTTATCTCGTACAACTGCATATTTTGTTGAATATATTCGGCAAAATGTGATGTATCTCCAGACTCACCACATACAGCAGCGAGCACACGATTGCTGAACTTATACATTTTGCGCTCATCGTGTTTTAAAGTGAGGATTGAGTGAGCGCAACGCATATCAGCAGCAAGTAGCACAAAATCATTCATTTTAATGCCAATAACACACTCCATCCTGCTGTCAACCTGTTTCCTTTTATGACTCTATCGTCTGTTCAATGAGGGCGCCTCGTACACGACCTCCAAACACATTCAGCTGAAAGAGTTATATTTTCTGCGAGTGCAATATTGCATCTCTACTTCAATCATGAGTTTCACATTTTTCTTTATTAGTTATTTATGGGAGAAAAAAAACTGAATTTAATACAACAAATTTGTTATCACATTTAATAATCACAGGTTGAGAGGAGAAATATATTCCTTGACAATTAGTTCCTAATCATCGGCCCTACACTAAAATATAGTTTTTCACATAATTTTTTTTACGAATCAGGTGCTTATTTTATGGAATTAGTTTTGAATATAGAGGGGTTAAATCAGGAGTTTAAGTGTCATCTAAACAATTTACAGGAGGGCTGAAAATTAATCACTGAATTCAAGATAAGTTAATTCTTAGGCGCTGGCAACAAGTTATTAAATAGTCAAGAAATATTTAAAATAATGATGAGTGGTAGGAAGAATAGAATGACTCAAAGAATTATGCAAAATACAAATAAGTTAACAGAATTGCCTAGATTTGATTATATTAGATAGTTGGAGGCAGGAAGCTTTGCTCGACCTAGGTTTCGTGCTAGTAGGCACTTGTTAGCTAGGCATTTCTGCAAACTTCGAGAAACTCATTTCCCTTTTGAGACTCGAACCCGTGTCACCTAGTGCTGCGGTGAGAGACGTTACCACTGAACTATTCGGACTCAAATCAATGTTCACCGTGATGATGAGCTATCTAGAATTGTGGCCACATTGCAAACCTGACTGATAGAATTCAGTTGGCATCAAAGAAAGAACTATACACGTCACGCTAGTTACTAATCAAAACGTTTTTTAGAATGCACAAGCAGATTCGCCTTGTTCAGATGAATTCCGATTGTCTCTGCTACATTTAAAAGGCGTAGTCGCAAACGATGCGACAGGTCGGGTGATATACGATAAATAACCTCAAGAGCTTTGTTAGAGTCTACTTAAATTCCAGTATCGACGAGAAGAGCCAGTATTGAGCTGCGCATAACTTTATTTGAACATTTGCCAAACCGAGATAGGAGGTGTTCAGAAATTCAACGATGAACTTGCCTGGTCGGACTCCCAGTCTAACTAGCTCCACACGAGCAGTTAAACTGTCAAATATACATGAAAGAGGCTAAACAAGACATTTTGTCTTAATTTCTTGTACTGAGTTTTGGTTGGCTAGCAAATAAAAGCATAGCTTAGCTGTTTTGAAAATCATTTTGAGCGCCATTCTCAGACGTTGTAATAAGATCTTACTATTGACGATATCCATGGATGGTAATCTTAGGAAGACTGATTTTTTGGGAACAGTCGGCACCTTCGACTTTTATTCTCTGAGTTCATGTGTTTGTTTACGAATTTGGTCGGGTATCCTTTTCTACTTAGCAGATAGAGAATATAATCGAGTCCTTCGCTCAGTGTCTCATTTGAACAAATAACTCTAGCCCGTGAATTAGAAATCAAACCAAATTACGTTTGTATTGTATAGGTACGAAACCGTCTCATAACTCTGAATAACTTGCCTTAGTATCTGAACTTTCACCGAAATGTGAATAACGGGTCCATAATTGTCTTGTGAAGGATCAAACGCGTTAGTCAAATCATTTGAACCTCATCCATTTCTCATCCAATGACCAATTTGTTTACCTGTTCAGAGTGAAATACGTCACGGATAATATGGTTTTCAAGGAACAAGTGCCCATCGTGCGTCTTCATTTGATTATGTGTCTCTAAATTCCCTCTATATCATCGATGATGAATAAACATTTGAGCGGCGGTAAGTATCACGTGTTCACTTCTCTGTTAAAGGCGGTATGGTCACTAGGGAACATGAACCAGGCCATAGGGTCCGAAAGTAATTCAGGAAAACCTCAGATCCCGCAGTGAAGTTGAGTGGAACGAATCCATTAGTGCTAACTTGAAGATTTTAGTCAACTGTTGGATTTCCGGAGCGCCTTCTGGAACTCCTCCGGCTGTACCAACTGGATCTGCAGCCAGCTTCTCTTTGGACACGGATTATCAATGCAGTTTGAATCCCTTGGTGACGTTGGATAACGCCTGGTTCAAGGAAGGGACATGGCACCGTGGGAGCAGACAAAAAATTAAGTAACGATGGGTTGCCTGTTAATTGTAATGATATGCATGATGTTCGGCATGATGAGTCTGATGTTCACGCTTAGCCGTTTAGGGATAGTGGTGTCTTAAGTCTCCCTAAGTTTGAAACTCGGTACTTGGATGGAAGCACAGCCGACTACCCACAGTTTATCAAGGAGTTTGAGGTCATGCTAAGTGGTTTTATTTTAAATGACGAAATGAAGTAAATGTATTTGTTGAGGTATTGCACTGGTGTTGCTGCCATATAGTGCTGCAAGTTTATGTCCCCGAAAGGAGGATACACAGAGGCTATGAGGATAATACGTCAAAGGTTTGGAAAACCATTTATGATATTCCGTAGTATTTTTGAGACCGTGAAAGGTAATGGATCACAGTCAAACGATAATTCAGAGGAACTAGCAGAGTTCTTGGACAGTTTAATGGTATACAGAAATACTCTTGTGTCTCTTAGTTGCATAGATGATTTGAATTCAATTTCCCTGCTTGAGACTGTTGCCAAGAGATTACCAATTCGTGTGCAAAGAAAGTTCATAAAGATCAGCTCCTGTCTAGAGGAGGAGGGTTTAGAGCCTGGGTTAGATGATGTTGTGAGCCTGGTGAAGGACAGAGTCAATCAAGCTTTGAGCGAGTTTGCTTGTATACTACATCCCATCCCTGGGATAGAGAAAGCAGAGAGCAAAACGCAATCATTTATGACGAAAAGGTCTCGGAGAAGCGGATATCGAGAAAGTTTTATGGTGTCTAGTAATCCATACAAGCTTAATGAGTGTGACAGCTTCTGTGGGACGTCTCCAACAGATAGGTTACAAGCTGCAAGACAAACACAGTTGTGTTTGCAAAATGTGAATACCAAAGTGAACTGTCTAGCGGTGAGTCAGATTACTGGTAAGACATTGTTGAATAGTGTCACAGACGATACCGCAGTTTTGCGCAGGGGAAGAGAGTTACAGTTTCAGAGTCTAGTTGTGATTCCACAAGTTGACGAGGTATTAATAGTCAGAGTAAAGGTATAAAACCATTAAGGATTTCTGAGGAGGAACCTGTAGGAGACTAATATTAGAGTTCACTAACATTACAAATATAAAAATAATAATCCAAGTCAATGGAGTGTTAAATCATAATATATTACCAAAACTACAGTGACGAGTTATAGCAACAAAAAGGATTACTTGGATATAAAGTCTAAGTCCTCTGCTACAAATTATTTATATAATCCACGGGCACGTTAATTGTTTGGACTGCGTCTGCTGTAGCTGCTGTGTTCCGGTTGTAGAAATGTCTTCGGTTGAGAGTAGTAGGCTCCTACAATAAATCCGAAGTATACAACACGGTGTGAGTTGAGCAAGTAAGCAGAAATAACCAGGGAGAAGACGAAGTCTCCAACAGCAGAGTGTATTTTCAATTGTACACGGAAGTAATGTATATTTCAACAAGAAGCGTTTTAAACAAAAATTATGTACAATATCTCGAATTTATACAAATAACCAAAAAGTGTACAATCACATTGTTGCGTACTCCACAAACCTAATTCGTATACTGCTGTTATTAAAGATGTTGAACGGATGAAGTCGATGATGGAAACGGCGGTAAGTTTGATACTTGTGACAATGGTCAAATTGTAGTGAACCGAAGGCAAGTTCGAAGTTGTTAGGAGGCCTGACTGTTTCGTTTTCTAGTGTCCACACGAATCGATGTAAAAGAAAGCATGTCGGTTACTCTACGTTCTTTGATTGTGACTCGAAAGGAATGCCTACTTCGGATGAGAAAATATAGAAATTTTGGGAATGTATAAGCACCAAAAATGTTAGGAAATTCGCAGATTCTTGGTACTCACGCGAATCAGCGATTAACAGAAAAATAGCTGAAGGTGAGACTTACTAGCTAATAAGGAATGAACCACATGCTATAATCATCCGAATCCCAGGTCAATAAAAATAATCAATACAAATGGAAACGAACGAGTTGTCAGAGGATAGAATTATATCATTCATGGAGAATTCAAGTAAATCTTTTCATAATAATGGCCGCGCTGAAGATATCTAGGAGGACAATTCGCACTTCGCAATTAAATCACTTAACCTGGAGGATGCAATCTCATAAGGAAACTAATGGGCTGGACTTATTCGTCACGTACTCTAGAAGTTACGTTTGGAATTTTTTTTGCCAATAATTTTTAATAAAATTGTATTATATGTTATCTAGATTGAGGGAAATTCCCACTTTTTGGCTGGTTATGTTGGTGTCCGCCTCATGTGATCTGACTGCGACACACTTTTAGGCAGCCTGTAGACGGCCGTAGGTCATTTGATCAGCTGATGAATATTGGCGCTATTTTTGGAAATGACGTCAAGGTTAGGTCATTTTTCGTTGTTTTACACACTTTTTTACATATATTCCAGTTAGAAGTTGATGGATTAATGGATTACACATGGACATGACGAGTTGGCATAGCTTGTTTCGGTAATTACATCATTTACTTCCTTGTTTAATTTTCGTAATGCTGAAAAGGCTACTCCGTATGTATTTCTTTAGGAAAAATCTGCAGAAATACTTAGAAATTATATGCGCAAAGTAATTCCTTTTTTTATGGCATAAACTTGATGTTTGCAGGCAGATACAATATGGATTTTATATTATTGAAAACTGTGGATTTACATAATTATATACAATTTAAGTAATTATTTCGTCATTTTAAACATATTTAATGGTTAGTTATTGTGTTAACACTGATAACAATGTCTATATCAGTATATATCTTATGTCCTTTTTCAGATAATATCTACTTTCGGGAATTTCATGGATTTCGTTGATAAAGAAAAAGATACCTGCACTGTTGT